GGGGTGTTGATGACTCGCAAGACAAATGTTCCTATGGCCGTGCTTTGAAAGACAAATGTTTTCTGTTTTTTGTTCCTGCCTCACGTTTGCTGATTTTTAAGTGTTTTTCTATGATGTTTAAAAAGTTAACGTTTTTTTGACTGAAATTTTTAAAATCATCTGCACAATATGTATGGCATTAAAGACCACGTAATAAACTCTTTGTAAACCACCTTTGACTTTGTTCTGACATTTTTGCCCAAAGGAACGATTAGATTTCAATTCATTCCTATGGGAAAACGCGTTTCACAAGATGAATTTTTCGCAAGACAACATTAACCGCGGAACGAATTAAATTCGTCTTGTGAGGCACAACTGTAATCACATATCCTAATTACAAGGGGACAATATACAGTACAGTAGTTGTAAATAGCCACTATATCTTATTCTTGCTCAGCCCAGAAAGAGAAATCACACAATCACAGGTTTAACCACTTTGTCAAGAGTATTATTGCTGGCAGAGCAGTTATATCAGAGGATTGTTCCCTGACACGTTTAACACCATCAAGGCATCTTGTCTTCTGCTAGCATCCTGGGGCTTTAGCAAATCTGAAAGCCTTTTAGCCATTGAAGAATAGGTTTGCTGCACTCTAATTTTCTTCCACAGAGACCAATAGAACTTGACATTTCTTAACCTTGACTGGATTGTTTATTAAAGATGAAGCTGGAAATATAGCAACCAGGGTGTGGTGAAATGCAAATGAAGGGAAACTTTATACAAAGCGGCCATTGTCTGATAAGCAGTTACGTCTTGGTTTGCATACTGCAGAGCTCTCCATGAAGCATGCACTAGTTCTAGTGTTCAAAAACACTGTCTGAAATCCAGTAGTAATCTGCAACTAGAGTAGGCCTACTGAGTCAATGCAACATACAGACGTATTGACGCAACAATCTGCCAGTGATTCAATGGGCCTACTATAGTTCCAAGTTACTACTGGATTTCAGCCAAAATACATAATACAAAAGCAAAATGGAGATTTTATTAAAGACACCCTGAAATGCACACAGCTTGGTGAGCACAAGGACATTTTGAATGAAAGACAAAGTTAAACAAAGAATGAGTGAATCTAGTAAAAGTGGAAATAACACATACTGTAATACTACTTTTTCCTCTATCCCCAGACTACTGAAATCTTCCTAGTCCTTCAGTGCAGTAAACAAGGGGTTTATCAATAACAGATAAACAAAACTAGACATGTTCTATAGCAAGCAGTCTTCTAGGACCATAGAAAATAGATAGATAGATAGATAGATAGATAGATAGATAGAGAGAGAGAGAGAGAGAGAGAGAGAGAGAGAGTAGAGATACAGTAGATACAGTAGATACAGGAGAGAGAGAGAGAGATAGATACAGTAGATAGAGAGATAGATAGAGAGAGAGAGCGAGAGAGAGAGAGAGAGAGAGGAGAGAGACAGAAGAACGATAGAGAGATAGAGAGATAGAGAGAGAGAGAGAGAGGATAGAGACAGTAGATAGATAGAGAGATAGATAGAGAGAGAGAGCGAGAGAGAGAGAGAGAGAGAGGAGAGAGACAGAAGAACGATAGAGAGATAGAGAGATAGAGAGAGAGAGAGAGAGGATAGAGACAGTAGATAGATAGAGAGATAGATAGATAGATAGATACTCTTTACAAAGAAACTATATTTCTTCCAGACAGAATCAGAGATGTCACTATAATGTTGATGGATCAGCCACAGTATCTAAAGCACACTCAGTCTAGGAAAAGAAACCACAGAAAATCCAAAGCCACTGAAAAAATGACACATGCACACCCAGCGTCCCTGCCAGTGCCCATCAGCTTTGGCTTATGCCAGTGAAACCACCCACATACTGCCCACACATAGAAGAAGGCAATGAACTCACAATGAGGATTACAATCCTGAGAACACTGCTTGCATTTCAAGAAATACACCATCACCACACCATCCTTTTTCTACTGGGCCCTGTCGTATACCTGGCAACAACCCTATGACTGCAAAATCACAGGCATTCCACCAAGCAGACATCCAAGTCTCATTACACTTCTTATGACCAACGTTCTGGAGCACAACATACAAAGGTAAGGAAGGCAAGCTCAAAGAACAGAGGCCTTGCATAGACCCCTGAGCAGGCAGAATCACTTAGGGAGAGAAAAAAAAATCTAATTCAGCTCTGAGAATTAGAATTCAGCCTATTGATAAATGGCAGTTTTGCAGTTTCTCATTCAAGTTCTCCGTTTAACTTCTTTTCATAATTTAAGGCCAATCAATAACAGAGTCCCTTAGGAGTCTGAAATGTTCCCTACTGGGTTTTCAGTGGTGCTATTTCTGAGGTTCGATTTATATCTATTATTTTGTGCAGAGACTAGCCCCTCTGTTCCATTTTCTGAAGTTGATGGCATATATCAGACTAGAAAAGGAGAAGGTGAGTGAATGCCTAGTGCAATTTATAACATTATTGTGTCCTGTAACAGTATATAGACACACAGAGATGGCATCTGGTTTGTTGCAGGGTTTGGTCCCTGTGGATCTTTCTTATGTGGTGCCACTGCTATTGAGTACATGCTCTGGTCTATAAGCAGATACAGGCCTGTCATCCCAGCTCTGTGACAGAGATGCACAATTTTTCAGCCATGTTATAGCTCACTGGTGGTATGTTTGAGTAATTTTAGCTGGGAGTTTTGGATTTTTCCTCCACACTGTAAGATGATCTCAGCTCTTGAAAACCTCCTACACTGGGTCTAAAAGAGGTCTGGGGATAACATAGCCTAAAATGGCTAGTTATACCTTTAAGGTGTCTAGGGGTACAAATGACAATTTTTTGCCTATTGAAATTGGGAAGACATATACAAGCACTGTTGGGCAAGCAGTCATTTATGTCCTACTGAAACTTCTCAGATTCTGCTGATATTGTTCTGTGGAACCACAAGAGTCTTTAATTATGTCACTGCTTCTGAGGCTGTGGATGGCACCTCTCTTTGCAATCTTGGCTGTGCAGCAGGTGGTATCATAAAATAACATGGCTCAGATTACCAGCAAAAATTTAAATTGCATAGAAAGAAGAGCAATTTGTTGTTGTTTAGTCATTACGTTGTGTCCGATTCTTCGTGACTCCATGGACCAGAGCACGCCAGGCCCTCCTGTCTTCCACTGCCCTCCATTTCCACTGGAGCTGGGTCAAATTCATGTTGGTAGCTTTGATGACTGTCCAACCATCTCATCCTCTGTCATCCCCTTCTCCTCTTGCCTTCACACTTTCCCAACATCAGGGCCTTTTTCAGGGAGTCTTCTCTTCTCATGAGATGAGCAATAGCTAGGGACAAAAATACATAAGAACCCTGCTGGGTCAGACCAGGAATCTTATTGTACACAGTGGCCAGCTAAACCCTTTTAGAAGCCCATATCAAGAAATAATAATGGTAATAGCGCTGTTTCCCTGTGACTGGTATGCAGAACCATGCTCTCTCTGAACTCTGCATATAATACCATGCCTGACAGTGACTGATACCCTTGTCTGCCATGAACTTCCCCTAAAGGGTAAGAGAGGCTTTTCCCCTAAAGGGGGAAGTGGGTGATCTTTGGCCAACTGGATGCTTTGGTCTACCATTCCCATCAACCCCAATAATCATAATCAGTGATAAGGCTTATGGGAGCTGTAGTTCAAATATCTGAATGGACAAATATTTTCTACTCTATTGACCTGTATGTGCTACATACGTCAGTCACCAAATGTTTACATGTTTTTGCTCTATCTCATGTATACACTCTCAAGTAAGCAAACTGAAAATGAGCATATTGAGGAGAATGTTTAATGTGACGTGCTTGTTTTGAACATATTGCAAGTTTCTTAATGGAAGGGAACTTTCAAATATTCAACCCCTCACTCAGCCTTAGGACGTCTGGTGGGATAGGGAGAACCTGTGGCAGAGCAGCACACTGTTTGTGTTGGGTCTCAAAGTTGCATCCCCACCATCTTCAGTTGTTCATCGGACATTGCGAGGGGATAAGAGCTTAGAGCAGAAGAAAGTACAACATTGCCTAGCAAACCAGTGATAGGGTTCATGGCAGAGGACAGTTTGATGTGTTGTTGTGACTGCCGGTCATTTTCACTAGCCCTAAGGAGACTTCCTTCTCAGCTTCTAATGCTACCCCTGCTCCAGCAGAAACCTTGAATACAAAATCTGTGCTTTTCTAGAAAGTTCAGCATAGAGATCCCAAGCGGAGGCAGGCAGAGTTTTTTTCCTTGAAAAATATGGTGGCGCACTCATTTATCTGCTCCAGCCTCTTTCTTCTGCCCTGATACCTTAAAGGAGAACACGGAGGGGACCACCCCGGCCTTCAGCTTCCTCTGCCCTCCATGCATCTCAAACTCCTCCGGATGGAAATGTTCGGAGCAAAGGCAGGCGCCAGCGCCGGGGATCCACAGCTTCTGGGAACCGGGCTCGATGCGATTCACGGCCAGCATCCACTTCTTCCGCACCTCGTGGGCTTTGGGGAAACTGCCAGGAGAGACACACGGAAAAGACCTCGTTTTGGGGCTTTGAAGAACAGACGCTGCCCCCGCGAACGCACCTGGCAGCCCCGAAGCCCCGCCCACAAGCACGTCGCTCCGCCTCCCTCTAGGCCACGCCCCCTCGGCGGTGCTCATCGGCGTCTCCCTTTCTACAGCGAAACCCAATGCCGGCCTTGGTTCGAAAGCGCGCTTCGTGATTCTGACCTGTGAAAAGAGAGGCCTTTCGCCCGCTTCTCCCGAGTGTCCCGGTTGGGGCAGTTAATGGCGGAGCAGGCTTTGGGCATCCTCCTCTCCCCAGCTTCGGGACCCGGCCGAATCCTGAGCCTTCTGGCCGACTTCACCCTACTTTGCCTCGGGTGTCATGGCGGCCACACCGATGGCACGCTGGGCACTGACCCTAGACGGGACCCGTTGCAGGGAACACCCCGCGCGCGGATTGGCCCGTAGGGTGACCCGTAGCCGGCCGCGGAGGCTGCTGGGAGAAAGAAAATATGGCAGCCGGGCCCAGCAAGGCGCAGATTCAGACGCTTTTCAAGCGGCTGCGAGCCGCGCCGCCCAACAAGGTACGGATTGCGCGGTGTTAAGGCAGGAGGAGGGGGCGGGTTTGCGTCCGTGTGGGGGCGGAAAGGTGGCCGGGCTTCTCCTTTCGCTGCAGTTGAGTGCCTTTTTCTCGTGCCGGTCCCTCGTCTTTCTTCACCACCCACTCGGCGCCCGCTGACCGTTTTAAGGAGAATTGCGGCTTGGTGGGTCGGTGGGTGGGTTTTTGGTCTAAAACCAGGGCGACGGTTGTGGGTAGAGATGCCGTTGCTCAGCAGGGGGGCCCGGCCCCTGCCTGCCTGCCTGCCTGAGGGGGGGGTCACCAGGTGTAACCCCCGAGGTGTTATAATAAGGCACTTGAAGTACCCGGCCTTTGCCGGCGAGATGGACGAATCGGCCTGGCTGGGCGCGAGGCGGGTGTTTTGTCGCCCTCCTGGTGCTTTTCCCCGCCGCCGCCTTGCCAGCTTCTCTCCCGTTTCTTCTAGTCTTGTTTTGACTGCGGCGCCAAGAACCCGAGCTGGGCCAGCGTCACCTATGGCGTCTTTCTCTGCATTGACTGCTCCGGAGTTCACCGGTCGCTGGGGGTGCATCTCAGCTTCATCCGGTGAGTTCTGGTTTCGTGGTTAAAAGAAATTAGAAGATTAGTCTGGAACATATGGTTCATTGTGTAGCTCCAGTATTTGCTTAAATGGCCTGTAATCATTTCCCGGAACCTTTTCTGTGGTTCAAATGTGTTTGATCAGCTAATCGGGACCTTAAATGCAGTCCAAATCCTATTGGGTTACTAGTCTGGTTTAGTATTGTTTTCAGACACACAGGGTATCTATGGCTAACAGCAAATGCATATGTTTGTGTGCTGAAGATGCTACTTAGTTATGGAAACATAAAAAGAATTAATTTGAACCTTAATATTTGTGGTCAGAGAAGCCAGGAATGAACTTTACTGGGATACAGGAATGGATCTCAATTCATGCTTGTGAGATTTGCTTTGACTTGTAGTAGATCCTCAGATCCGCTGCTAGAGCCCAGTGCAAAAGACACTGATTCATAACCCAGAAATTTGTTTACTTTAGAATGTGGAACATCTCTCAATCCCTCCATGTAGAGATCTGCTTCTGCTTACCCTAAGCATTCTTCATTTCAGAAGATTATATTTTGGCCAGGAATTTACATTGCAGTGGCTGTTGGTATACAGTTGCAGGTCAGAAGCACTTGCTGATCTACTGCAGATAGAGACCTAATGGAAATCTAAAAGTACCCCTGTGTACTTTATTATATGGTTGTTGTAATTTGTCTATAAATGTACTTTGACATACAGTGGGGTCTTGACTTGAGAACTTAATCCGTATTGGAAGGCGGTTCTCAAGTCAAAAAGTCTGTAAGTCAAGCCGTCTGTAAGTCAAGGGTCCACTGTACTATTTTTGCCAATGTAAAGTTTGGAGGTCAAATCCAATGAGTACATACCATTTGGAGTAGGTCCACTGAATAATGGGACTTAAATCGACAATTGTGTAAGTTCAGTTGATTCAGTGCATCTACTCTAGTTGGAAATAACAATTGGGTTAAATTTGAGAGTCTCAGAATTAACTGCTGGTTGCTATAATTTCTTTAAAAAGTTATTTCGTACCAGGTATGAATACAGGTTTGCAAATGTGTATATATGTTATTGTTAGCTATTGTAACAGCATAGTATAATTTTTTTGATCTACTGTGTAGTCTTTTCTTTCAATACCATTGCTTGTAAATAGCATCTGTTTGTGTTATAGGTAGTGCTTGCATGTTTCCATTAATACAGAGTATGGGGGGGAATCCTCAACAGTGGGAGAGAATGATTATAATATAAAACTCTTGTAATTTGGGGAATACATTGCTTCTTTCTTACATTCAAGTAGGCATCCTTCAGTCTCAAGAGACTGTGGTAATGTGCTCTCAATAGAGGTCTTGGAATAGCGTCTAGTGTGGCTGACAAGGCCAATTCGAGAGTGACAATCCCTTCCACACTGAAGACAAATAAAATCTGTCAAAAATGCTGCTCTTAATGTGAAAAATAATGCATAGTTACTATAACTAATTACCACTAGAAGCTTTATTCAACATGAAAACAATAGATCTGTAGCCATTCCTAATCTCCCATCATATCATTGTCTCTTTTCAAACTAAATGAATCTAATCATTTTCCAATAGGCGAGTTGGTCCACTCAATAATTTTGGTTACTCTTTTTTATGCAGTTGTTTAGTTATTTGAGTTCAATATGTTTGTGGAGCTTGAAAGCCTGCACATACTCTTAGAAAATTAGTTAGGTAAAAGGTGTCAGATTGTACCATGATCTGTCTCCCCAACTCAGTTTCTTGATCTTATTGCATAAACTCTTCAGCCCTTAGATTATTCATTGTGTATTTTCAATACTCTTAGTTTGTGATTTTCATGAACAGAAGTCACATTCTCTGTTGGAGGACAGCTATGTCAGCAAAAGGATTTCATTTTGAGATATGAGCCAAGCTGGAAGTTTCTGTGCCTCTTCTGATTGCTTTGTCATGTGACAGATATGAGATGTTCAATGCATATTGATTTTTGGATATCTCTGGCTGACAATAATATATGGAATAATAATGAACTCCATCCTACAGCTTGGAGCAGATTTTTTGGTTTACTGTGGCCCTCTTAAAATTGTTTTGTCTTCCGTAGACTTGACAGTATATAAGTGGATGTGTGAAGCAAAGGAAAGCATCCTTGCACAGAGAGAGTTCCAGAATGCTTTGTGTTTTTCTCTTTTTATGTGCTCCATGACCTTTTTTCTGTGTTTTGGAACAATAAACTCATATTAGGGGCATAAATGGACTCATATTATGGGCACATTTAAGGAAGACTTATAAGAAATTGCTCTAAGGCAGTTGACAATACTAAAGGTAATAGCCCTATTGCAACAGAAGTGCAAACTTCTATTAGCAAGACTACAGGTATGGAGAAGGGTAACCTATTTTTAAATATTAGCCTTTTCCTGGCTGTGGCATGTATGGGCAAGCTTGTGCATGCACGTAGTCACCCCTGCCACCCCTATCCAGGTACAGTGGTGCCCTGCATGAGGACGATAATCCGTTCCATTAAAATCGCTGTTAAGCGAAATCGGCATCATACAAAAATAAAAAACCCATCAGAATGCATTGAAAACCGGTTAATGTGTTCCAATGGGGGAAGTAGCTCATCGTCCAACGCAGATCCTCCATAGGGAAGCCATTTTCAATCGCTGTCTTCCGGAAATAGGTCCAGAAAACAGCGGGGAGCCATTTTGAGAACTGCTGATCAGCTGTTTTTAATCATCGTTTTGCAAACAATCAGTTCCCGAAACATGGACCTATTCATTGTGAAGCGAAAAAAAAAACCATTGGAATCATCGTTTTGCGATCGCTATAGTGATTGCAAAAAACTCATCATCAAGCGGGGTCATCGTCAAGCGGGGCACCACTGTATTTATGATCTCTTGGGGCAGGGGTTATTGAGTTTTCTTGTGAAGGGGGAGGGAGTTTGAGATGGAACCTAGCTAGACGTATTTAAACAGGATTTCACCCCAATATTCTTAAATATATTCCTCAAGCTTGTTGTTCAGATTTGGTAGCTGAACAACAAGCTGTCCATCACTTTGCATTTAGGTTCAAGTGACTCTCTAACTCTGACCTGGTGAAATTTGTCTGAGAAACTGACTTTAGTTTCTATTCTCGTTTCAGATCTACAGAGCTCGACTCCAACTGGAGTTGGTTTCAGCTAAGATGTATGCAAGTGGGTAGCAATGCCAATGCGGTAAGGAGCCATTTTAAATTGATGTTCTTTGTTCTCGTGCATGGGTATTTTTGTCATCTTCTTTGAAGAATATCTTGATGGGGGGGAGCAGTGGATCGTGATGTTTTATGGAAAAAGTGCTCAGTATGAACTTCCAAGGGGAAACTAGATTATTGCTGAATGCAAATGAAAACTGCATCACTGCTGTTTTGTGTTTGAAATGGGCCCTTTAGTTGCATACTTTTTTTACTTCCATTAATTTGTTTTTCTTTTGTTTTTGAAAAGCAGTGACTTTCTTCTTCTTTTTTCAGACTGCCTTCTTCCGCCAGCATGGTTGCATCACCACAGATGCCAGTGCCAAATATAATAGCCGTGCAGCTCAGGTGTACAGGGAGAAGATCCGGCAACTGGCAAGTGCTGCCATAGCCAAGTATGGGAATGATGTAAGTGCAGATTAATGCATAGTTGCTATAGCTAATTACCGCTGGTAGCTTTATTCCACATGTACGGGATGAAAGATGATGATACTGATGTTCAGTAGAATGTCTTGTTTTTCAGCTTCTTATTGATGGGTTGAGTGGAACTCCAGGCCACTCTCCAGAAAAGAGTGATGCTGATTTCTTCCTAGAGCACACACAGGTGAGACGAGCCAATTTGATCAACTTGGGTGGGTACTTTGGCTCAATAGTTCAAGTTTGGCATATTCATTTAGCTTGTGGCCTTGAAATGGTTGTCTAGATTTATACACAGAAAGCTTATACCAAAGCACATCAGTGGTTTGTTCTAGTCAGTATTATCTACAATGACTAGCAGCAGCTCCAGTCTCTCAGGCAGAGTCAGTCTTTCTAACCCTGCTTCCTAATAGTATCTAACTGGAAAAGCTGGGGGATTTAAACTTGGTCCTTATGCAGGCTGGGGCTGTGCTCTTCTACTGAGTTAAAGGTTCTTCCTGTTTTCAGTTATCACATTATCAACAGACACAAGTGATGATTGCTTCCTTGCAATGTCTTGGTGGGTGGTTTTGAAAATGGAGTGCTGGCTTAAAGACCCTTTGTCTTACCAGAACTATTCTTGTGTCACATCTGTCTCTCATATTTGGAACACTTCATGGGAAGACTGATAACTGACAGACTTCTAGTTTGGCCCTCAGCCAGCAGTCCTCTTAATTTCAATTACATTATATAAGTTTGTATAAGAATCTGGTGGTAATCATAGGAGACTAGATGCTTTTCCCAAAAACTGTTTATGACTCAAGGACTGGAACTGAGTCCAAAAAGATTTGAAATAATAAGGTGACTTTGTCTCCACCCTTGCTTACAAGAAACTGCACTGAGGAGTTTTGGAGCATATAATACTAGACTGTATTGGTAGTTGTTACTTGATTACTTAGCTGCTTGCTTATTTCATCCAGCTCTTAGCTTATTACACCAGACTTTACAACATCTACAATTGAACTGTGATCTAATTGTACTGGATTATTGTTGAGTCTCCCTGAAGCTTCTTTAACTTTCCTTAAGGCCTGGGATGTAGCTGAGATTGGCCAAAGTGCAGTAGAGTCCTCACTGGAGTTGGAGAAGGCACCAAAGCTGTCTGAAAGCAGTGAGATTCCACGTGAGTATGGTTACTGAACACATGTGCTTAGTTTATCTTCCTATATTTAATCTCCCTGTGCCCGGATGGAGAGGCTTGATCTGATTTGAGTATTTATGCAGTATAATCTATGCAATGTGACTAGAAAAGATGAAAGTGCTTCACTGTGACATATGGTGGCATCTCACTAGAACCTCTTAACAGCCTTGATCCTGTTCTGAGATGCACATTTAAGAGGGCTGCATCCCTATACAGTATAGAAAATATTAAGCATGTGGAAGTGGTTTTGTTCGTTGCTTTTTTCTTGGTTGCCAGTACATTTCTATTGATTTGTCTAGGTAGTTTTCTCTGTGGCATATGCTGAGTTCTAGAACATCACATGTTTGTGAGACTAGAAGACATTGGTATCTCTATTGAGTCTAAGAAATAATTAACAGTGGATCAAGAAGTATATGATTATATATATTTTCTGGGGTTTTTTATTTTAAGAACCTGACAATGGACCGTCTACAGACTTGCTGAGCACTTCTCCCAAAGGATCTCTTGGTAAGTGTAACTTTTTAAAATTGTTTTCAGTTCAGAATATGGTTTGTGTTATCAAAAGTACTTATTTTAGGTGCTGTCATGAGGAAGCTTGAGTCGGTTCTTCTCATTATTGTAGGAGGATTTGAGACACAACTCTTGATTTTGAGTATCATGGAATCATAGCCAAAATCATTTAATCCAAAGTCCTGCTGATGCAGGAAATTCACAGTTACAGCATCATCCCTGGCACATGGCCATCCAGGTTCTCTTTTATTCTTTTTAGCTACTGGGCACTCTTCCCTTTCATTTATTATTCATTTTAAATGTGCATTCCTAGGTTTGCCAGTTTCTTATTGGCAGACTCCTTCTGCACTTGTGATTCCTGTGTATGTTTGGTTAAAGATCTGCATTTCAATACCCTTCAGGAAACACACCTCTGCTAAGTCTGCTGCTGGCACTGGAATCCTGTACTCACTGCCAAATTTACCACTGGCACTGCAGGTGCTGCTGAACCATAGTGTTACTTGTGATCGTTGTGGCAAAATAGGTGCAGGAACATTTGCACTGTAGGGATTACAGGGCAGAATATCTGCTTCCCTTTCTCAAGTGGCAGAAAGAGAAGACAGGAAGTTGAGGTAGTTTCTGGTATAGTTGGAGATGGTGGTGGCAGCAGGCTTGTAAATACCACAATATAAGAATTTGGGGTTACATGTGGCTTGTGGGTCACATGTTTCTAATGTGTTACATATCATCAAGTTGCATCTGATCTATGGTAATACCAGCAGGGTTTTCAAGCCGTGTAAATATTTAAGAAGTAATGCTACCAGTGCCATTCTCCAGTGAGTGCCATAGCCAAACATGCTCTCATTCTCTTGGTTTCATCATTGCTTTTTGAATATATCAAAAAAGCAAAGTGTGCTGCTTATATACTGTCCCATAGGACTTAAAGCAATCTCTGGGCAGTTTACAAGTTAATTATACAGGCCATACATTGCCCCCCCCCAGCAAGCTGGATACTCATCTTACCAACCTCTGAAGAATAGAAGGCTGAGTCGGCCTTGAGCTGGCTACTTGGAATTGAAGCCCAAGTTGTGAGCACAGTTTTGTCTGCAGTACAGCAGTATAACCACTGCACCACGAGGCTCCTGGGATACTGTTGTCCATGAGCTCCACGCTAGGAAACTATGGCTTAATGGCTCTTTCCAAGCAAGCATATAAACTCGGATCAAATTTTTCTTTGGAAAGAATTTAAACTAGTAGCCTGGTTTGGGTGGCACTTGTTTAATGAGCCAGGATCTCTGAGATGAAGCTGAATGCATGAGGGAGGATGCAAAGAAAACTTGTATGCATCTGGCCTGATCAATCTCTGTGTCTGAACTGGGCTGTTAGATCCTAGTACCCTTTGCCTGCAGTCCTCTTTTGGACCTCCTCTTGATAGTACTCTGAGCACAAGCAGAGTCCAATGTGTGCCTGTCTTTTTCTCCTTCAGACGCATCCATGTGTCTGTTTCCACAAGGGGCTGCTCCTGCCAGAGGTAATTGGCTAACTGCCTACACTGGCTGCTCGAGGTTGCCTTTCCTTTCTGTTTCTGTGGTTCTGTTTCCAGGCCTGTGTTTAGCTGTCTTGCAGCTTCCAAGTGTCATTTCAAATGAGAAGGGTGTTGTTACTTGCTAGTGTGGTTGAGGATGCCTCCTGTTTTTAGGCACTGCTGCAGGCTGCTCTCTGCTAACATGAGTTGTGCTGGAGGGAGTCTTGAAGCTGCTAACTGCTTTAGGTCTCTTGCAGTTGGTGGGCAAGCTCCTTGAAGATCTAACCCTGTTGTGATGCTCTTTTGCTCCTAGACAAACCTCTTTTGTCTTACTAGTTATGCTTCGGATACACAGGCAGTGGTTGTTACTACATTTAAGGCCATTTCTCAGATACCCGAAATCCCTGCTCTTAACTGCACTCTTTGAGGCATAATTTCTTGGCATGGTGTTTATTCTGCTTTCTTGACTGGGGGTGTAGCTCTAAGAATCTGAGAACATCTGATAGTCCGAAGTAGCATGTTGTGGCCTGTCCCATTGCTCCTGGATTTCTTTATGCTGCTACCAGGACTATTGGGTGTACTAACCATACATATTGGTACACTTGGCCTAGCAGTTCTTGTGGTACAAAAGCTTTAAACGCCTGGTGCAAGTATTGGTACTAATAGCAACTTACCTATTGCTGTCTTCCTATCCTACTCACTCATTGCTTTTTTCTTGTCACAGAAATAAAGCCTTCTCTCATTGGAAAAAAGAAGCCAGGTGCTACCAAAAAGGGGGTACGTCTACTGAAAGACTTTTTTTTCCTCTTACCCCATGTATCAGCTTTTTTTCTTCTGGCATGCTTTCTTATCCATTCCTTTGTGAGTGATCTTCTGGTGCAATATTTAGGGCATAATTTATCTATAAGGCATAGCTGTTTGTGGGTTTAGCGACCAAGGAAAACGGAATGAAAAAGACAGAGCTTCTATAATTAATACCCTGTTTCCCCAAAAATAAGACCTAACTTGAAAATAAGCCCTAGTATGATTTTTTCAGGATGCTCGTAATATAAGGCCTACCCCAAAAATAAGCCCCAGTTAAGTGAAACCCCGCCCTCCACCATTGTGCAGCAACCAGAAGAAGATGACATGACTTGCCAGCGTTTCTTAACGCAGATCGCGGTTTTAGCAGAGTGATTCGCAGTCCAGAAATAACTCACACACAGTCCAGCAGCATTTCCTTCGGCAACGTGTATTTACAACAGTATTTACAGTAGTCTGGCAGCATAACATGTAGAAGTGATCTTCAAGCAGGAAGAAGATACAACTGACTGTACAATTCACACATATGTACATATGCAAGACTAATCAGATCACACATTGCATCATCCCTGAGTTGCATCACCCATGAGTTGCATCAGCACTGCTGAGTCATCCTGACTCAGCTTTAACACACCTGATCATTATGGATTCTCATTAATACACTCCATTCTGCTCAGGCCTGATCATTATGGATTCTCATTAATACATTCCATTCTGCTCAGGCCTCTAATTTTCCTTGACATGACTGTATTTGAATAAATGCAGATTGTTGTACAGTGGACCCTTGACTTACAGACGGCTTGACTTACAGACTTTTTGAGTTACAGACTTCTCTGGCTGCAAAATTTAGGTTTGACTTGCAGACTGAGATTTGACTTACAGACCAGAAAAAAACCAAACTGGAACAAAAACGGCCTGTTACGGGATTAATCGGTTTTCAATGCACTGTAGGTCAATGGAGACTTGACTTACAGACTTTTTGACTTGAGAACCGCCTTCCAATACGGATTAAGTTCTCAAGTCAAGTCCCCACTGTACATGAAAAAATAAAACATCTCCTGAAAATAAGCCCTAATGCATTTTTGGAGCAAAAATTAATATAAGACCCTGTCTTATTTTGGGGGAAACAGGGTATTAGCAGTGAGTTTTCAGAGTGTTGATTACATAAGCATCCTGGCAAAATAGCTAATGCCCAGTGTCTGTAGACTGATATGCGTTGACTAGGCCTTTGTCTTTGCAATGTTCCAGCAATGAGTTCTGCTTTCAGGAGAGAGCTTATTGTACTGCGGCCTAAGTAGTGTATTCCTCTGTCTAAATAAGCGGATTGTCATCAGTGAAAGCTCAAACTGAAAGAAATCTGTCTTAAAGGTGCCTCAGAATGTTATGTGTGTGTGGTAGTTTCTGTTTTTGTTGTACATACTACAATAGTCTACTTGTTTGGATATTGTTGCTCTCAGTTTACCCTGGGGAATGAACAATATACTGTTAGCACTGAAACAAAAGAAAAAAAAACTTGCTGCTAATGATGTTGAATGGATCTGCACTGATAAATGCAATTTTCCCACCATTTCATGTTGGTAATAAGAGCCTTTCACAGTCACTGCAATCACAACTCTTTTGAATTTGCTGAGCTGAGGATCACCTTGAGGTGTGGGCTCAGTAGCACCTCTTATGCAGGAAAGCCAGATTCCAGCAGTGGCCTCTTTCAAGATTTTCTGAGGACCGTGTCCATTTTCTCTCTATTCTGTTTCATTTGGCATGCCCAAAACTGAATAGTGTACCTAGATAGAGTAGAATTGAGAGCAAGATTAGAAAGCTAGATCACTGAAGACAAGCAACAGAGAAATGAGAGGGGGAGAGAGTTCGGCCCTTGGTAAACGTGGAATATCTGAGTGGTCATCCTGACCATTGAGCAGGTTATATATATGATGTAAATGAAGGGTGGAACCTGCATTATACCAAGACCTACGAAGTTACCATGTTTCATCTCCCTCTTCATGAATTAATTAGTGGGAGCCATTGAAATTAGTCTCCTTGTTTCCTGAGTGTTTCTGTGCTCCTTGCATAGGCTACAGTAGCTGATCATAATGACTTTCTGGTGTTCATACTTTAATGAAACATAATATCCTAGCTTCCCTTGGAATCTTTATTTTGCTTTCTTTTTTCCAGTTGGGGGCCAAAAAGGGTCTTGGAGCCCAAAAAGTGAGCAGTCAGAGTTTTACTGAAATTGAACGGCAAGCCCAGGTGGCTGAAAAACTACGGGAACAGCAGGCTGCAGAGTACAGGAAACAAGCAGATGAGTCCATGTGAGTGAGTTTCAGATTTGGATGAGCTGGCTCACCAAGGTGTTGAGACAAAAACTTCTTTTCAGCCTGGGATGGTGAAGTTTTAGCATGCAAGAAGGCAGAACCAAATGTGTGTTGCTTTGCCTTGAATGAGTGGATAGTAGATTCTTTCCACTAAATGGGTTGTGATAGTGCCCTGATTCTCCATCTATTTTGTTCTGGTTCTTACGCTCCAAACTAAGAGATAGTGGGATGGATCATATTTATCATGGAAAATTTCTATTTGGATTCTGCTTTTAGATGAACTGCTCTCTCTTTCAGAGTGGCTTCTATGAGACTGGCCTACCAAGAGCTGCAGATAGACCGTAAGAAGGAGGAGAAGAAACTTCAGAACCTGGAAGGCCAGAAGCGTGAACAGGCTGAGAGATTGGGCATGGGTTTGGTGTCCAGAAGGTACTCACTGTGCTTGAAAGACAAGGGGTGTGCCCTAAAGCCATTTGGCAGTTGTGCAGCTGCTTTCTCAATGCGCTAGGAAAATTGTCCTTCAGAAAACCATCTCTGATGAGCCAAGTTCTGAAGTCAGCTGTGTGTGAGTGGCTTGTAGAACCTCAGCCATGTTTTGAGAATGAGCTCTAGAATTTCCTTTAGCTCTTTTTGTGAATTTTTTCTTACTGTAGTTTAGAAGTAAGGGCGAATTGTAGGTAGCATCATACAGGATCTGACAAGTTCAGCAGTATTTTGAGGATTTGCAATATGCTATGTTTTAGCTCTTTCGTTTAAATACCCCAAAAATGGCACTTTACCAGTAGATAGCATAAGATAAACAGTGACAAAAACCTGCCTGCAGGCTACAATTGAAATCCTTATCTGCTCTTGCTATTGTCTCTACTAGTGGCTAGTTCAGGGCACAATTGGTGAACAGATGAACACATCTGATTAAGGATTTCTGGAAATGTCATGCAGACCAGTTTGAGCTTTTTAAAATGAAAGTGAGCTGTAAGCCTAAGAAAGCTGGGCCTTCTTTGTGTAGCAATATAGTTCTAGTGTTGAGCAATTATATGTTGGGATCTGTGGAGCTCTGCCAAGACTTTAACTTGTTGCTGCTTCCTACTAGTTCCATCTCGCATTCTGTCCTCTCTGAGATGCAAGTGATAGAACAGGAAACGCCTGTGACGGCAAAGTCCTCTCGTTCCCAGCTGGATCTTTTTGAAGACACTGGAAGCTTCACATCTGGACCTCCCAAGTAAGATTGAGCTTCACATGGTCCCTTCAGTCTTCCGTAATATGTCTCTATCCAGACCGAATAAATTCCTTTATCATTTGTTTTGCAGGTACAAAGATAATCCTTTCTCAATAGGAGATGCTTTTGGCTCACAGTGGGAAACAGACAACTCTTCGTGGGGGACAGACAAAACAGAAGAGGAGGCTGATACTGCAGTCTCCAACATCCGGCCTATTGGTGACAGGTAGGGGAAGGAGTGCGGTCCTTTCTACACTGGAAATCAGTTAGGGTCCTGCAGTGTTGTTCTTCACCCAGTAGTTAAACAAAGCTTGTTTGGCCTTCCAAGAGCATTTGCCTAGAGCAGCAGTTCCCAACCTTCGATAACCCAGGTGGTCTTGGACTGCAACTTCAGAAGCTTTCACCACTAGCTGTGCTGACCGGGGTTTCTGAGGGTTTCAGTCCAAGAACACCTGTGTTACTCAAGGTTGCAAACCACTGGCCTAGATCATTGTCCAAGTGGAAAAGTATTCTAAAATGTATCCTTAATATACCTCTGAGACAAAAAAAAAAATACCAATATGAAGAAAATTAGCAGAAGTCATTGGATTAAAATATGTGGAATTTCCTTGAGTAGTTGCCCTGATTCTGGCTTGAAAACAATCTGTAAGGCATCAGATTGGAAAAGGCTAGTCAAAATGAGCAACTGTATGGGCCAGTTCTTAAATATGCATGTTCACGGTGTCAGTCTAGGTTGGAACTTAACTGAACTGAGGTGTTCTGGTTGTAGGTTGAATTAGGTTGTCACTAGAGATGGGATACTTGTATTCATTTCCCAGGGAAGACAAATACGAATATTGTCACCACAGGGGGTCAGGTCTTTTGGACCCTCCCTCCAGAACCAGCCTGGTCCACTCACCGGGCTTCATGTGGTGCGCATGCCCATTGCCAGTAGCATCATACCAATTGTGGAAGTTGCCCAGCTGGTGCTTCCCTGCCTCCCTGTGGTGCTGAGCAGGGAAACTTGTATCCTGCCTCCTTGCCGGGATGGTCAGCAGTGCAGGGAGGTGGGGAAGCGTTGGCCAGGCAACTTCTGCGATTGGTGTGATGTTACTGATAATGGATGTGCTCGCCAAGCAAAACCCAGTGAGTGGCCCAAGCTGATTCGTATTCCCAGGGATGCGAATACAAAGCTTCCATGTCTAGTTTTCACTATGGGACTGTAGGGCACAGGGTTTCTTACTTACTGCATAAATGACATACTTTGTCTTCCCTTCTATTCAGACCCACCAACAGAAGAGAGACAGAGAGCAAGATATCTGTAGTGGAGTCCAATGAAGCTAGACAGAAGTTTGCAGGAGCAAAAGCCATTTCATCTGACATGTTTTTTGGGCGGGAAGCTGATGCTGAGGTAAGGGGCCATGTGGTGTGCATGCCTTAGGCTGTCATTCTGCCTGCCCCCAGCAATAACAAAGTTGGCCACCACCAACTTGTTTCCTGTATTTTACTTTTGTTTTTCAGTATGAGGCCAGATCCCGGCTTCAGCAACTCTCTGGGAGCAATTCCATCAGTTCCGCTGATCTTTTTGGAGAGTCTGAGACTGTGAACTCAGGTACGTCAGTAAGCAGTTTGAGTTCTGGGTGTTATTTTGGAGCGCCAGGGGACGGAGTGAGAGGCTGTTGTGGCTCCCGTCTCACTGATGCAGAACAATGGTTTGTCGGGGTCCAGCTGGTATGGCAGGGGATGGCTATGGTGCAGAGCACGAAGCAGAATACATCTCTGACTGCAGGAGCTTATGGGTAAATTCCCGTAGGGTTGTCTCATAGGATCACGTCATGATTTTTGCTCCCTTTTAGGTGGTGTATCAATTGGAAATGTACTGCCTGCTGCTGACATTGCCCAGTTTAAGCAAGGAGTGAAATCTGTTGCAGGGAAGATGGCTGTTCTGGCCAATGGTGTGATGAACTCCCTTCAGGTGAGATGTAGATATATTTTAAGCTTGTAATGTTCTAATGTTCCTAGTAAGTGGATTTAAATGCTCTTTTAAACGCATGTATTCTGACATCCAATCACAATATAGGAAGCAGTGTATGATGTCTGTAAAAGCCTATTTAGAGATTTAGACGCTTATAACAGTTCTAAAATAGCTGTTTGGGCAGTCTACTCAAAGCTATAGATCAGTGGTCCCCAACCTTTTCAGAACCGCGGACCAGTTGGGGAGGCAGGGTCTGTGTGCCACACCCACCCATGAACACACCACGCCCACCTCCTGTGCTGTGAAGCCCACGGACTGGCACTGGGCCGTAGACCAGGGGTTGGGGACCCTTGGTATAGATGACAACACCCCATATGCTCAGTTTAAATTCTGAAATTTTGCTAGATGATTTTGACTCCACTAGGTGGCACTAACTTCTGTTAAAATACCTAGTACAGTAGTTGTAATTTTACAATTACAAATTCAGTAGGTCTTGGAACTTAACTATATTTGCTTAGAAACTGGGCCGTAGACCAGGGGTTGGGGACCCTTGGTATAGATGACAACACCCCATATGCTCAGTTTAAATTCTGAAATTTTGCTAGATGATTTTGACTCCACTAGGTGGCACTAACTTCTGTTAAAATACCTAGTACAGTAGTTGTAATTTTACAATTACAAATTCAGTAGGTCTTGGAACTTAACTATATTTGCTTAGAAGATAACCCCTTGAAGGAAGCTCCTGAGTTCTTCAAAAATAGTAACAACCAGTCAGAATCAAGACCAGTAGCCTTAATGAGAAAGGAAACCAGTGTTTCTACAAAGAAACACTTATTAAGAAGGGCAAGAGGAGGAATTAGGAAAGAGCATAAAAGCCAGGCCTCCTAGTGAATGTCCTTGCATGAGTGCAATAGTCAACGCCAGTCTTTAAAAAGGGAAGGAGGGGGGACCCAGGAAACTACAGGCTGGTTAGCCTAACGTTTGTTCCAGGGAAGATGGTGGAAAGCCTCAACCAAGATAAAATCTTAAAACACACAGAAGAACAAGCCTTGCTGAGGGAAAATCAGCATGGCTTCTGTAAGGGTAAGTCCTGCCTCACAAACCTTTTAGAATTCTTTGAAAAGGTCAACAGGCATGTGAATGCAGGCAAACTAGTGGACCTGGTCTATCTGGATTTTCAGAAGGTGTTTGACGTGGCCCATCACAAAAGGATCCTGAGAAAACTTCACAGTCAGGGGATAAGAGGGCAGGTCCTTTTATGGACTGAGAATTGGTTGAGAACCAAGAAACAGAGAGTAGGTGTCAATGGGCAATTTTCACAGTGGAAGGAGGTGAAAAGCGGTGTGCCCCAGGGATCTGTCCTGGGATTGGTGCTTTTAAACCTGTTCATCAATGACCTGGAGACAGATATAAGTGTCCAAGTCTGCAGATGACACGAAACTTTTCTGGGTGGTGAAGAGCAGAAGGGATTGCAAAGAGCTCCAGAAGGATCTCTCCAAACTGGGAGAATGGGTGGCAAAATGGCAAATGCCCTTCAATATAAGAAAATATAAAGTAATGCACATTGGAAAAAAAAATTTAAGACTTGAACAGATGATGAGTTCTGAGCTGTCCGTGATGGATCAGGAAAGAGATCTTGGTGTGCTCATGGACAGCTCGATGAAAGTGTCAACCCAGTGTGCGGTGTCATTGAAGAAGGCCAATTCCTTGCTAGGTATCAAGGGGATTGAAAATAAAACAGCCAACATTATAATGCCATTGTACAAAATGTTGGTAAGTCTGCACCTCTAAAAAGACATAGTGGAAATGGAAAAGGTACAGAAGAGAGGGACTAAAATGATGACTGAGCTCGGGCAACTCCCTTATGAGGAAAGGCTAGTGTTTGGGGCTCTTTAGTCTAGAAAAAAGACACCTGAGGGGGGGACATGATTGAGATGTATAAAATTATGCAGTGGGTGGATAGAGGGGAGCTATTTTCACTCTCATGCAATACCAGAACCAGGGGACGTCTACCCCTATTGTTAGGACTGAGAACGGACAAATGAAAATACCTAGCATGTTGTTAGTCTGTGGAACTCCTTGCTACAGGATGTGGTGATGGTACCTGGCCTAGATGCATTTAAAAGGGGATTGGACAGATTTTTGGAGGAAAAGTCTATCGCAGGTTACAGGTCATGGTGGGGATGTATAATCTCCAGGCTTAAAAGGAAGGTACCTCCAAGTGTCAGAGACAGGTATCTAGTTGTCTTGTGTACTCCCAGAGGTATCTGGTGGGGCCACTGTGAGATACAGTGGTGCCTCGCTTAGCGATCGCTCCATTGAGCAACGAAATTGCTTAGCGACTGAGTTTTTGCGATCGCAAAAGCGATCGCCCCTGTGGGGTTTTTTTGCATTGCGATCGTGGGGAAGCGATCATGGCAAAATGACCCTTTTTTAACAGCTGATCGGCGGTTTGAAAATGGCCTCCGGGAAAACAAAATGGCCACCCACTGTGTTTCCTCGCTTTAGAGGCACCAAAAATGGCCGCCCCTATGGAGGATCTTCGCATAAAGATTAGTTTTTAGCCCATAGGAACGCATTAATCGCGTTTTAATGTGTTTCTATGGGCTTTTTAATATCGCTTAGCGATGAAATCACTTAGCACTGTTTTTTTCCAGAATGGATTAATGTCGCTAAGCGAGGCACCACTGTACAGGGAGCTGGACTAGATGGGCCCTTAGCCTGATCCAGCGGAGCTCTTACGTTCTTAAACCAAGAATAGAGACCTTTTGTGCAGCCCAGTGATTTGGTTTTCACACAGTGACATGCTGGTGGTTGTATTAGGTGTGGTTGACAGAAGCTGAAGTTAAAATCCATGCAGGAGTTTTGCCCATTATTTGAGTGGGAAGTGAGACCTGTGATGTGTAATGAACAGCAGAACTGTGAAAATTGGCTGTACTGGATGGTGTTCAAGGGCTACTGAGTATTTCTTCTGATACTCCTGGTTAGTTCAGCTGGGAACATTTGCCCTGATCCTCAAAAGCTGGAAAATGGGAGACTTGTATAGATAACTGGAACTAGAAGTTTGGAGCAACCTTATTGAAGCTGTATGCTCACCTGTACTGTACTGCAAGAAACCCATGTGTCAAATTGATGTCCCTTCCAAAACAAAAAACAAAAAAACCCAACCCAAAACTCTTTTCCTCAGTACCATGAGTATTTATAGTCTCTCCACTGCTTCTCCCCCACACACAAACACACACAATTGTAAGCTGACTCTTTCTTCAGAACACTAAGGGTCAGTTCACGTACCATTTGACCATGAAGACAAAATACACAGTACAGATTAGCACCTAGATGCGTGCACCACCTACACCTAGGGATCTGTTAAATCCAAGGTTCAGTTTTGCACTCCAGCTGCCAATTTTTTGTTTGTTCGTTTACTTCCTAATTTGCAGCTTTCTCAGATGACAAATACTGTACTGGTTCAGACCAGACATACTAGCCGAGCATTCTTTTCCCTCAATTGGCAGACAGAGGCGTGAGGATAGCCCACAAGCATGGCATGAGTGTTGCAGTAATAACCTCCTGCTTGTGTTCTCCAGCAACAGGTGTTGAGAGCCATATTGCTTCTAGTGCAGGAAGTAATATACAACATTGTGTCCAGTGGCCATTGATACTCTTAATCTTTACAGAAAAAAAATGGCAGTAAACATATGTTGTGTTCTTGTTTACAGCAACTGGCTGTTTATAGTGCAGCTGTTGCATACTCCAGGATGGACACAGAGTCTTCTCCACTAATAAGGGCATCCTCATACCTGAGTCACAAGGCCTTTATCCAGAACATTGCATCAGGGATTTTCTTCATAACTGACGCTTGACTTGGTGTGCAAGTTAGTCAGCTTTGAGCTGGCTTTTATATCTATTTGCTTGGAAATGTTGTACTACTTCTGTGGACAGTTTGCTAAGTGGGCTGATAGTCTCCCTCTCTCCACCTGCTTTTTAGGATCGCTACGGCTCCTATTGATGATTCAAGAGAGTGTACATCTCATGGGCATTAGTAGAACGCAACATGTACCTTGAGCCCACCTGGAAAAACTCAACAGGATTTCTTTTCAAGCAGAGCATGGTTGGGAGCTGCTTGAGAAATAGAAGGAGAAATGGCTATGCCTAGCACTTGCTCAAACCTCTCTGGATATTGTTTTCTGTTAGAAACGAAACAAAAATTTCTTCACAGCCCTAGCCTCCAGCTAATGGTGTTCATGGGATCTTCCAGAGAACATCCCTCTGCTGCTGTACACTGAGGCAGAGCTACAGACTGGCTGTGGGTGGTGCTGCTCTTTATGCTTTTAACCCCCTCCTTGGCTGCTATTGGTAAGACTAATATTGTGGAGGCAGGAGATCATGGTTAACACCGTTTACACTGCTGCATCCAAGGAAAGTTGCAGTAAATAATGCAGTGCTGGGGAATCCCTAAAGCCTGACCTGTCTTGTAAAACACTTCTACACAAGGTAATTTTTACTGCCTCTCTGAACCAACATGGTAGACAGAACTTTTTTCAGGACACTGACTTATAAAAGTCTAAACCTGTAATAAGGAACAACAGATCGAGGCGTGCTTGGGCTTGGCAGTATTTGGTATCCTGGCAGTATTGTGCAAGTCTGGTAGTTAATTGGAAAATTACGTCCTTGCCCCCAGCTCCCAAGGATTGATGTGTGTGAGAGAAGACCTTCAGGAGGGTAAGGAAAAGAATGACGCCTTCAGTTTTCATGTAACCTGCTGTCCGGCCTCATTTGTGCTTTCTGATTTTTTATTTCCTTTCAGACTTTGGAAGAAACGGGGAATAGAATGAAAAAGACAGTGGCCACTCTCTCCACTGCCTGTGTTCCTATGCCTCTAATGCAGCAATTGTTGTTCTGCCCCTGTTCCCCTTGGCTCGCCTGAATGTCATAGCTGTTCTGTGTGCTATGTGTTGGAAGAGGAAGTAGATTCAAAAAATATTTCTACTACTTGTCCAAGCTTCACTGCTGTCCCTTTGCCCTTTTTAGCTTTGCATTATGGGATTTTTGTTTTCAATCAATGCAATTCCAACTTGTGTTGGAGAAGGAGGAATTTGGAGCACATAACAATGCTCCATTCCTTCTACAATGCTGCTCTTGATAACCCCCAAAACACAGAAGGTGCCCTACCACAAAGCACATCCTTGTGTCTGCATGCCTTACCCCTCTGTTTCTAAGAGTTGGTTATGTTGTTCCATTGGGAAGGAGATCTCTCCAACACAGTGGGGCCCTGAGTTCATGTGAAACGATGTTGTCATGATCCTTCTGCACTTAACACTGCATGATTACAAGCTGTAGATTCATCTGGAGGCCTACATCGTATCTGTTATATTCCATAAGGAGCGAGACCATTAATTTCTCTTAATGGGCGAACAACCACTAGGAATGCACTGAAATTAGGCCTTTGCCTGCAGTAAGTTCCTGAGGGAGGTGAGCTTACCAGTATGGTTTGCAGATTCTCTTTTGGTGGAGCAGGCTCTTGCCCGCTTCTATATCTGTGTGTTCATCAGTGCAATTGGGCTGCTTTCTCCTTGTGTGCTTCCTAAGAGAGTAAATGCCTGCATGGACTGACTGGAAATCTCCCTGCCATCACCTTAGCTCTGCTCCACCATCACCCCCTCCCCCCCCTCTGGCATCTGAAAATGCACTGTTCTAACTCTAATTCCTGCAAATTTGTCTTAAAGCACTTGCTCGTTTCTTGGGCAGGAAGGCTGCAGAGCTTTGGTTTGGTCCAATGCTCTACTCCAGAATGGGAAGCGGGTTCCCTTCTTGGACTATCTGTGTACTTTGAGTTAATGATAGTGTTAATGAGCTTTGTGTGGCCAGGGTTCGGCCTCTGCTGTATTGGGGGGGGGTTCCAAGGGGGAGTGATGTAGGTCCCCCTCCCCAGTAAATAAAATTAAATACCTGTGTGTTCCACCTTTGTGATGTTTCTTGCCTTCAGCTATATTCCCATGGAGGTGGATGTAAATCTGCAAACAGGAGTGCCTCCCTAAATATGCCAGGTTAAGAAAAGACACTATGGACTTAAGGACAGACAGGCAGGTTAGAGTGAAGAGGGCAGGATTCATGGTATGGAAACAGCATTGAAGTTTAGCAGTTTATATTATTGTTCTTTCACAAATTTAAGGCTGATGTATAAAACATTCTGGGCTCTAAAGTTTACATTGCTTCCGCAGTTACGATACAATGTAGGCATGCTGCCTCAGAACCGGGATTCTAAGTCTCTTTATTGGCCATAACCTATCCCTATATTTAACTTCTCCTTGGCTGAAGGCATCTCTCAAGTGGCTTTTGTACTTTCATTTCTTCCAGAAGACACTTCTACAAAAGTGAAAAGTGAGCTGGGTTTTTACTTTTCACAATACATCTTGATTTTTTATTCTGTTTCTGTACCACTTTTCACTAAAAGGTTGCACTGTGAAAAGGCACAAAATACAATAAAATCAACTTCATAAAAGTCATTTGCTATAACTGATCACACTGGTCATCAGGAAAACGCCTGAGAAACCAAATAGAAAACATTCGGGTGTGTTCCTCATTTCAGTAAAAAGGTGCTTTTAAAATGGTGGCCAACACAGCAGCAAAGCCCCTTCAGTGCATTGTAACCAAATGATATTCATTAAAGCCATAGCAAAATAAGCTGCAAAGAAACTGTCTGAGACACAGTTCACGTTGTGCAACATGCTTTATTTGCTGTATATGATAGTTCCCATATCTTAAAATGTTTTACAAAATAACAATATCTTAGACTAATAAGAGGGAACTGAAAACAATGATCACTCAGTACAATGTACAGAGGTTTCTTCAAAACAAAGCACAGAGGTTTCTTATCCTTACAAATGTCATGCTGCATTATCTAAACTGAAATATTGAAATTAAGTCCTAATTGGGACATGAAAGTAATAGGGGGCATATCCAGAAAAGGTGTAAATTAAACCTGTGGACGGCAGAAGCCCAAGTACCATATTTTACAAAAGTCCTCTTCTCGAGTGCCTTAAAGATGAAGAGGTTTACTATGTGAGTCAGTTTTAGCATTAAGTTTTTCAGTATTAAACATAAAGATGTCTACCTAACGTGAATGTTTCTACTGATGATTTGCCGCAAGAGGGCAGTAGAATCCTGCAGTTAGCATTAGCCTTTGTATGAAATGCAAAGCTGCTGAGTGGGAAAAAGTTTCAGATTTGATGGGATCACAATAGCAAGCCTCCCTAAAGGGGACATCTCGATGTGAGCATGGTGTGGGAGCTTGTAGGAAAAGGAGTGCTAGAATTGTTATTTTCCCCTCCTTCTTAACTCCTGTGTCTTTTCTGTGATTAAGGACATAGGATTAGCTTGCAGTCCCATGGTGTGCATTTAGTTCTCAGATGAATCTGTCTCTTCTGTGGAGCCCTCACTTTCAGTGTCTATTTTCCTGCGATGGTGTAGAGGCCTCCAAGGGGAACTGATCCGGGAAGAAGGTCTGGAAGGCACATTTACAACCTCACCACTACTATTGCCAGAGCTGGAAACAGAGAGTCCTGAAACCTGGGCTATCCTGAAAGAAAGAACATGCCGAGAAGAAAACTTGAAAAGCTTGTAGTTTGTGAACGGCAAGAGCACATGCATGTGTTTATGTACAGCTGTTTGGAGGCAACAGAGAAGTAAGAAAGTCAACATTTAGGATCATAGCCTTCAGTCTGTCTATCCTGATAATGCCAACTCTGGTTGGCAGTGATCCTCCAGAGTTTCAGGCACAAGTCTTTGCTAGCCTATCTGGTCACTTCTCGTATTCCTTTGCAGTTTTCCAGGCAAATACTAACCAGACCAGACCTTGCGCAAATTCCAGAATCTGACAAGACTGGGTATCTTGGTGGTATGCTTCCCAGACTTTTACAGTACTGGCACATCTTACAGCTCAACATATCAACTAAGCACGGGTGAGGCTGTTCCTTAAATTGGACTATATTGCCCAAAGTGGATTGGAGGAGCCCTAGGCCTGTTTACTCGGACTGTCCATGGCTCTCTTTTGCTTCTTGGATTCAAGAAGCAAAAGAGGCCTTCCTTTGAGAACTTGGAAGAGACAACTGCAGCCTCATCTACCACATAATTGTGCTTTTGAAACAAAAAAGGAAAGATGCACCTGGATAGTTTGTTATCTCAATTTAAAGGAACTTACAGTTTCTCTAGTTCCTGATCCATAACTGGGTCAAGCAACAGCTCTGTTTTATCTGGAAGGGCTCCTGAAAAACAAGAACAAAGAATGAAAAATCAGGCTTAGTGTTGAAGAAGAGCAACCCTCAGCAGTCCTGAATAACTTTGCAGTGTGAAACTGGCCACGACAAGAAAAGGCAAAAAACAAACAAATGATTTATATTCACAATTGCTGCATTTTATCCATTACGGAATATGTCTGCCTGAGAAATGCCAAGCAACACTACCATGAGATTTTGTCTTTAAGCGACTGCAGTTTGAGAGGCTTGGATGCATTTCAAACGTTAGCTGTGTGCTTTGTTCACATTTTTTCAACAGAAAGAAAACTGGATGGCTTAAATGTTCCTCAATCCAACAAGGGTGACCTATATGCAGAAACCAACTTTCATACCAGCTCCCTTTTTATGGGTGCAACAAGTTGCTACAGCATGTTAACATCTTGTGTGCGAAAGCCACTGATGCCTTAGGAATGGTAGTTTGAACTGAGCGTGTGCTTCCTATAAATGAAAGAGAAGAACTTTTTTGATGCAACAGGAATCCCATGGGTGAAATGGGAGGAGTGATGGTTTTTCACTGCTGCACATACCACTCTGCAGCATATGAAATACAGTTTCACTCTACATATCTATGGAATACAGTTTCAAATGCTGGGCAATTCTCTGGTGACAATGGGAGAGCTGGTGCTGAGGAGCTGCAGGGATGTTTATTTCCCCAGGCTATGGCTGAAGCTAGACCAGTGGTTCTTAACCTTTGTTACTCGGATGTTTTTGAACTGCAACTCCCAGAAACCCCAGCCAGCACAGTTGGTGGTGAAGGCTTCTGGGGGTTGCAGTCCAAAACTCCTGAGTAACCCAAGGTTAAGAACCAGTGAGCTAGACTATGACCAGACAGGGTCTTTTAATTTCCATACTGCAGTTAGAAAGGCTTTGTTTTTTAAAATGTAATTATGGGACTAATGCATTTTCATATGTCCCACTCTTAACATGTATTCAAATCTAACACATCAACACACAGCTGTGTAGACAAATAAGAAAGAATCCTGAGGCACCTTACAGATTTAGCCGATTTATCAAGACACAAGGCTAGCTGTTCAGCAGAAAATCATGTCCAGTGGGCAAGTTCTAGTAAGATCCAAAAAGTCCCTGCTCCAATGAAGGGATTCTCCAGTGTGAATCAGCTTCATCAGAACTTACCAAGAAACCAAGCATGAGTGTGTACGCATATATCCTATTTCCCTAAAAATAAGACCTAACCTGAAAATAAGCCCCAGTATGATTTTTCAGGATGCTCGTAATATAAGCCCTACCACAAAAAAAGCTCCACTTAAGTGAAACCCTGCCCTTCACCACTGTGCAGCAACCAGAAGATGACACAACTGTATTTGAATACATGTACTGTAGATTGTTGTATATGAAAAAAAATCCCCTGAAAATAAGCCCTAATGTGTTTTTGGAGCAAAAATTAATATAAGAGCCTGTCTTATTTTCGAGGAAACACAGTATATATACATATCAGCTGAGAATAACACTTTCCAGAACCTATGATGCCGATTCCAGTTTTTTAAAAAAGTTTATGTCATAATAAATCTGTCTTTAAGGTCCTATAGCTCTTTTTACTGCTATGTAAATGCATAGTGACTACTATGCAAGTTAATTTCACACATTGAGGACTGTGGAATAATTCAGAACCATATGTGGAGTTTCCTATATAGAAGTGGCTTTTGTGCAATGTGTGAAGCAGTACCACATGACTGATGTGTAATTGATATGAGAATTTTCTTCCCAATCATGGTTTTGACAGCTTCATTGTGCTAGGATGGATGAAAGCTGGATTGTTCCAGGAGGAAAGCGGCCACGTATTGACCAGGTGACCACTCCTTCTAAGTAAGAAACAGAACCCTAACTCTCCCTGACATTCTGCTCCCAAAGTCCATGCCAGATGGAACAGCATTCAAAATTTGGAAGTCTTAGATACAAAAATGAAGCAGTCCTTTGGGAAAACCAGCTAACAAGGCTGCCTCACCTATACTAAATCTCATGATGAACTGTGGAGTGCCTATGTAATCTAATTCTCTCCCTAGCTATTCCAGTCTTCACACATTATTTGGCCAACCCTGCTCCCTTTCTGGACTCAATCAGAGCTTGCCGGGTGGCAACACTTCTTCACTGATGCCTTCCTCTCCATCCTGAGGAGTCCAGCCCATCCACATGGACTGCCCTAAGAGTCCAGTGAGTGTTGGCTCATGTTTCTACAATCTGCTTTAGCATCATTTTCCTACTCTCCTTTCCTGCTGCCTCAGGATTAGCTCTCCAAATGGTGTTGGGCTGCAGCTTTCATTAGTCCAAAATAGCATAGGCAATGGCAAGGGATGAAGAGAGTTGTAGCCCCAAGCCATCTGGCGGACCACAGGTTGCCCGTTCCTGCACTACTTGAGCTATATGACCATGCTGGATGGATGCCTGAAGGTCTGCTTCTTTTCTCAAAATAGCATAAAGAGAATATTTTGGAAAGGACCAGAGAAAAAGAATGCATGACTAAGCAAGGGAAAATCGCAGAAGCTGATTCCTTTTAATCATCAGTTGACCACTTCTCACCCAAACTCAAATCAATTGTCAGGGCTGTTTTTTGACAAGTGTGAATGGTAGTGAGTAGAAGAGGCGTCTCCTGTAGACCATCTTGACTGCTGCCACTGGTGCTGCCAGCATTCGGGCTGCCTTTTCCTATGAAAAGCTTGGCATCTTTTTCCCTGCTGGGAACATGTGCATGATATTATGCAGCAATATCAGGCCAGTTCCAGGCATTATGAATCATGGATACAGAAGCACAACATCCCACATTTATAAACTGGAAGGCTTTTTTTTTTTGAAGAACTGAATATAAATAGCAGTTATAGGAAGGAATACATCTAGAAACTAATGACTGAAGGGAGGAAGCTTCAGTAGGATCTATGCTGCAGAATAGGGTTGGCCAACTTCTAAAAGTCCAAGGGATAGTTCCTCCTTTTCAGACACCTCTAGAAGTCCCATGATTTCCAACTAGATGTGAGAAAGTGACTGACTTATCACTTCCAATTTAAACAGGACTTTTAAAGCCTAAAACAGACCTTGGTGGAGGAGAATTATGTTCACATGAGAAGTTCCCCTTGAGGTATGCAACTTGCTATCTGTGAGCAAAAAATGGTGTGTGTTCGTGTTCCTGCTGTAGAGGTTTAAGAGAGTTGGCATCCCTGAAACCTTAAGTGAGAAGGGTTCCATATCCCACAGCAGCCTATGGGTATGGAGTTCTCTGATCCTTCCCCAACCCCCAGATATGTGTGCTCCCCCACAGATGCCCAGGTCTGAGCTAGGAGGAACCTGCATAATCTTAGGCACGGGTCCAGTGGCACGGCGATTCAGCCCTTTTGTCATGTGAGTACCCTTTCACATGAGTCACAACTAAAGGGCAACATCTATGTTAAACATTGACTCCATGTCAGACAACTTCTGGACTCATTCCACATCCACATTTTAAAGACACCAAGATCCCCTCCTACCACAGAGCATTACAGCTTCCAAGTTTTACCTTCCCTCTGAAATGGGATGCTTTTAGGCTGCTGCCTCTTATTACAGATGCTGGAGAGGCTCTTGCATGCTGCCAGCCTTCCCAGCCTGTTCTATGAACTCAGCCAACTATTAGGTTCATCTCTGTTTTTGCAGAATCATGGGTGTAGAAAGTTCTGGCAGGTGCTCCAGTTTTAGAAAGACACTTGGGCAAATCAGTCTGGACACAGGCCTTGCGCTGGGCCCTGCAATCTGCCTGACAAACCCACCAGCCCTGCCTGCTAACCCCCAGCTCTCCTCCTCCTCCTCAAAGTCTGGTGAGTCTAGTCTCCCTCTTCAAGGGAGGGGCAGCGGCCCAGACCAGAAAGCTCCCTCCCGCTGCTCAGGAGCTGTGTCGCTTGGACCTGCTCTCGCTGCAGGGCTTCAGGGAGCCTATGATCCCCTGCTATAAACCAAAGCCTATTCAAGGCATGCTGCATCCCGAGAAGATGAAAAGACACTAGGAGAGGAATCCTGCTGTCCTTGCCAAGAGGAGGAAAGCACCTGTTCGACTGCCTGCCGGCAGCTGCCCCTCCCTGTGAGAGGTCTTGGCAACAGGCTGGCAGGGGGCCAGGAAGAGCAGGCCTGCCTTTCTGAATGGAAGGGGAAAGCCCCAGGGGCACTTTGTACAGGGCCCAGGGCTTTCTCAGTCCCATCTGTTTTCTTTGCACCTTGCTAGGAGTGGATTTGCCAGAAGCCAGGAAGAAAGACTGCCTGGCTGGGTGCAATCCAGGCTTCCCCATAGCCACTGTGAAAGTCCAGCTCACTCTAAGCCTGTTTGCAAAGGGGATTGTAGGCTTGTCTGCATGTCCGCTTTGATATATAATCTCTGTGGTGCTGCTGGGTAAACACTCCTCCATCAGAAGAGCATTAACAGCTCACATGGTCAGGAGGGAGGGAGGGAGAGAACAAGTCTAGTCTGTGCTGTGATGACACACCCAAGGGCAAAAGCAGCCGTGTGTAAAGAAAATGCCAAAAAAAAGGAGGGGGCAAGAGCAGCTCTGGAGAGCTGTTTGCAATGTCCAAAGCTGCATAGTATCTGGGACTGCCTGTTCACGGCCATATCTGAGAGGGCCCATCGGTCATCTCCAGGAAAGTGACAAAAGATCACTGCCCAGTGAAAGAGGAGCTCCACATTTTCAAACTCAGCAGCTTTTTTAGGGTATTCTGGAAGCACTGCTTTTCAAAGTGGCTTGATAGGTGTGATGATGTGTTTGAAGAGAAATGCAGCTTCAACGGTGGTGATTGTAGAGGTGAGCAGAAGCTGTCTCTGGTTGGAAAACAAGAGTGGGGGGGCTTTCTTTGGAGACAAGAGCGCTTTTTTTTGTTGGTTCTTAAGTGGCATCGAGCTGCTTTTAGCCTATGGTGACTTAGGAGTTAATGAGCTCTGAATGGTCCTGTCATTCACAGCAACCTTGGTCAGGTCTAGTAGACTAATGGCTATAACATTTCGCACATCCTCACATCAGCATTCATTGCTAAGAAAAGCAAGATTCTGTCGCTTGCAGGAATGAGGTTAGGAAAAGAAACACAGGTCTGCTTACATCCTAGACACATTTAGTTTGGGTTCAAGTCTTTGAGGTGAGGGGTGAACATCCTTGCATAATAAAGAATCCTGTCGGCCTCCTAGAGATCATCCGCTGACTTCCGAAATTGCTCAAGCTCATGAGCTGATCTAGGATTACATCACGGTTCATGATAGGCAAGGGGAAAGGAGTCCAAAATCCCACATATTAATGGAGCTTCAAGTAGACACAAGCCCTGTGATAACTGGCTGTGGGAGTGGTTAGGGTTAGCCTGCAAAAGACAATGAAGATACTGTAGGTCATAAGACAGCCATCTTCAAATATCTGAAGGTCTGTCTGTCCTATTGGTGATGGAGCAAGTTTGTTTTCTGTCGTTCTGGGGGTGCAGGGAAGGACCTCAACCAATGGATAAAATGACACAAAGAGAGATTCTAATTATCTATGAGGAAGAACTAAATGATGATAAGAGGTGTTCAACAATGAAACTGACTTCTTCAGAAGGTGACGGACACTATTTGAGGTCTTTAAATAGTGGTTGGATGGTCAGCAGAGAAGCATGGCTCTATTTGAATTCAGAGGCAGGGAAGGAACAATTAGCCACATCTAGAGGCAGCACGCGAGGTTGCAAAAAATTGAGAAGACAAAGCCATTTTAAATTACCGCTGCATCACGTCTATGTTGTTATTTGCCATCAAATCAGAACCAACTTATAGCCACCCTAATAGGGTTTACAAGACAACTGAGATATTTAAGGAGTAGTTTTACCAGTTCCACTCCCTCAGTAAGCTTCCATGGCTGAGCAGGGGTTCAAACCTAGGCTTGCTGAGTCCTAGTCCATAACTATTCACTACACCACACTGGGTATCATATAACTTATGTGAGGTAGCACTATATGAGTAACATTTCTCTTTTTAACTAACTTTTATAATGAGATGTCAACCCTAGGAGTATGAGCCTGCAGGAAAGACGTCATACTGAACAATCACAGCCTTCCCCACTGAGAACATCGTCCTCCGTGTGCTCAAGACTCATTCTCCCTACCAACCCAAAGGACCAATATAAGCAAACACACAAGCTAGAAAGCAAAACAAAACAATGTGAGTGGAAATGCTATTCCTCCCTCCCCCCCCAGCACAATCAACCCCTGGCAAAATGTATGGAATACCCAAGGACAAAGGTACTTGCAGACAGGCTTACATCAGGTATGACAGGAAGAGGGGGAAAAAGGGAAATTGACTAAAAGAACACCAGCACAAACTGTAGCACAAAATGGCCATCTAGTCATGCCCTTGCTGACCTGCTGGGAAGACAAAACAGAACCAAGTTGCAGGGTTTTGTCTAGGAGGCACTGAATCCAATAATAACTACCCTGTTACAAAGCAGCAATGTAGCTGGATTCCGTATGAAATTTGATGGCTCTCTTTAGCCAGCCCTCATTTACCTAACCCCTGTAAGAAGACACAAATGTTTAGAGAAGCAAATACGCTTAGAAGAACTGTGAAAAAGAGCTGGAGATTTCAGGGCCGTTTCCTTTCTCTCATTAAACCGTCAGATGTAATACAATAAGCTTCTACAGCCGATCAAATCTGCACAAGATCTATGATTCCAAATATAACATTCTCACAGTCTAACACTTCATGGTGTTAGTATAGATGTAAAGATGTAATGTATGAAATGTTCTTTCAGCAGCTGGAAACTATAAAGGCAGCTTTGGACAGTGATTTCTTTTTTATTGCCTTGCAGTCAATAACATTCTTGGTTTGCTTCAGCTAAGGTTTGCTCCAAAGGCACTTTTTTACGATGTCCCATGATATTATGCTTGTGGCATCCTGCAGCACTGACAAAAGCATGTCCATTCAAAACTTTCCCACATCCCTGAAACACATAATCATAGAAAAATACAGGATGGGACTTTACCGAGGGCTCTGTTGATGCCATGGTGCTTTGCAAGAGCCATCAGAAATCCATAGAAAGTCAGTCTCTGTGCACTGCCCAGAACCTCCTTGATAAGAGCAGATGGGGGGCAGCTAGGGAAACACCAGAAAGATAGTGCATCAGTTCTTGCATATTACTTCCTCTCAGCAGATGGATCATCTTGAATCAGCTGTAACTCTGCAACCCAAATGTGTAGAGGAGGCTATGCGAGTTTAAAAGAATGTGGAGAACAGAAGAAAATTATGTTTCTGTGCAACTTTAAATAGGCTTTTCCTGTTTCACCTTTTTAATATATTATACTGCTTCTTTCATATTTAATCTCTAGCTAGCCCCTCCCCACCCCATCTGCTTATTTTATTAGTTTGTTTCAGTATAATATGCATCTTAAATGCAGTGAAACAACTACCACCCAAAACCATGGAACCTACCAGTTAAATAAATGTAAATACCTCTGGCAAACATCTTGAAAGGTAGGTTCATCGCTACAGGGTATACTGAGGGCCAGTTTACTGTATACAATATATAACATCTTTCTAAGAAGAATCAAGCTAACCTTCCAGTAGTTTGATTCCAGAAGACCTTTTTGTCTGTGAAATAAGACTTGCAAATTAGGTTTATGTTTACATCCAGAAGGTCACCAAGCTAATGTGCCAACAAATGGAAGTGTGAAAAGCACTGATGGTTACAGACACTTTCAGCTCAAAATGAACTCTCTCTTATACAGTAATGATATATGCTCTTTGTACAATAAAATGCAGTTTGACCCTGGTGGCAGCATATAAACGACCATATCTTTGAGGGACTGAGACTGTAATTTAGGATGAACATGTATTAGTCACCTGTGGTGGTTTAAGAAAGGCAAAAGGCTGAGGATGCAAAGCAACTGCCACACCTTCATTTTTAGGAGTATGAAAGAGTTTTTTTTTTTTAATTGGGATGATTCCTGCAGTCAAGACTCCAAGGCAACTCTTCCCTGTCCCCAGGGAGCCACAGCTTGTTCCTGCTAACCTTACCTGTATTTGGATCTATCACACAGAGACTCCAGGCACTGGTAAAACACAGATGTCTCCACCCCATCAAGTGGGCTGCATTCACTTGGAGCTTGGCGTGAACGATGCTGTCCAGAAGATGAGGTTGGAACAATGACAGTATTTGGATTCTTACCAGTCAAGAGGTCTTGATATATGGTAGCCACACTGTCCAGAAACTCTGTGAAAATGGATTGATAACACAGAAATCATGCTTACTACAATTGCACAGGGACTGAAAATGATTCAGCTTAGACTACAATATGCTGCGTAGCAAACTGACATCAGTCCTCCTGTAATTGTGTACTTATGCGAATCAGGCATGGAAGCCTCACATAATATGTAAAAGTATAATTCAACTTGCATTGCTATGTGATGAGATATCCCTCCGACTTCTTGATCACATGCCTTATATCTCTTGAATATGAAACAAGAAAACCACACAAGGATTACAACGGTTGACCTCTAAGGTCCTTGTGGAGGGAGTTTCTGGTCCTGCTCTTTGACCAGGGTTGATTAGATTAGATTATTTTTGTTCCTCCCAACTTTGATTCTCTGAAAAAGAGAAAAATCAAGGCCACCCAATCAGCTTAGCTTTTTTCTACACAGAAACCTCCATGGTCAGAGAAATAAACACTATCAAGTCAGAAGCAGGCTGTCTGAAATTGCTGAAAGAAGCAAGGAGATGGGTCACGCAGGCTCCAGTCAGCAGCCCAGCATTCTTCACTACAACTCCAAAATAAATACAATATGGGGCCCAAAGGGAAGATGGTAAGATACTGGCTGAAAACACTCTCCCCCAGGCTCCATACCTTCCCTGGTGTTTACTGCCTAAGACTAAATTTAAACAAGTTTGTTTATGGATCTGCTCAGCCATTTACAGATGCAGATTCCACTCAGACTGGTTGGCATCCATACAAGTTAGTAGGGTAGCCAGGAAAACTGCTAAGTGTGGATGAGAACAGAAATGATACACTGTGGTTTCGGTCTGCAGAACTCTACATGTGTGCCAGGAAGCCATGCAAGGGAGAGATTAGCTGTGGCAGTGCTGGCTTATGCTTCTGGGAACTGTAGTCTGAAAATGAACTTTTCCAATCCTGGGCTGAAACTATCTGGCCTTGGTGACTCCCACTCCTGTTGTATCTGCCCTGTCTGTTGCAGCTATGTTATAGGACAAAACGCAAAGTGGGATGGGCTTACCTGAGTAGTAAAACTGGATCTGGAATGCAAATAGGAAGTCTGAAAAAGACATCAAGCAATCTACTGCATCATCCATTAGAACAATCCTGCAAGGAAGAAGAAGAGACAAACAGGTCATTAACAACCAGTTTGAGAAGAGGTAGGTGTGTTGGTCTCTGCTTCCATATCAGGCAAAAAACAAATTAAAAATAAAAATTAAAGACAAAATTGTTGTAGCACCAGGTGTACCACTAACAAAGTCACTAGGTGACTGATGGAGACAGTGAAGGTGACTACAAATGCTGAAAACCACAGAAGGGGGCTCATGAAAGAGACCTCACATTTTGCTTGCTTTTACCTATATATACTTCCCCCAGTTATCCCCAGGATCTGCATCATCTAATTTTGTCATGTTTAGAAATATTCTTTAAACTCTCTAAAGATGAAAGGAAAAACTGGATTGTCTTCAAGAAATAGCATGTGCTCAAGGCAATGTGATCTAAAATTACTGCACCATTCCTAGAAGACAGTACAGAAGTAGGGTGACAGAAAGCTGGAGAAGCACCTTCCTGGTCTTTAAACTTTGAAATCCCACAAGGGTCAGATCCCAAAAGGGTCAGTCTGCTCTCCTGTCCAGACACCCACTGTCATGAACAAAGATGTAATGCAAAGAAGATAACATCTTCATACGTACTTCATACATCCAGCTCTAAGAGAACAGTCATTACATGACATCAATTCAAAAATCAAGAAAGAGATGGTTAAAACTGATTTTTTTTAAAAAAGAGAGTGAGTGCAGTTATTCTAATAAGTAGGAAAAAAACAGTCCACATTCCCTTCTGCTAAGATGGGTATACCAGTAAAGTAGATTCATTCTTCAAAGGTTTTGCTGGAATACTTAAGAGGCAAATGATGTAACACTTTCTGCTGTTTTGGTTTGGCAAAAAAAAAATGCATTTTGCTCACAAAGGCTAAAAGTAAAGCAAAATTACAGCAACAAATTCCTTCTCTTTGCAGTTTTGACCTTAGACAAACACAGTTAATGCTGGCAGGCAAGGAAAAGGCTTTACTGTTAGGCTGCTGTTCCAAACATCACTGATATTTATTAAATCAACAGGATGAGATGAAAGCTAAACCTGGGATGCCCTTAACAAAGGATTTGGGAAAGAATCCTTTTGTTCCCTTCATCCCTCAAGACTGGCTGGATGATGAACAGTGAATTGAACTGTAGCCCCCCTGCTGCCCCCATAGCTATTTCAAACACTGTGTGTGAGTGAGTGAGTGAGTGAGTGAGTGAGTAAGTGAGTGAGTGAGTGAGTGAGTGTATGTGTGTGTGTGTGTGTGAGAGAGAGAGAGAGAGAGAGAGGGAGGGGGGGAGGGATTGCATACTCACTTGTTTTTAATGTCAAGGCAGAGCTTGGAAACAGTTTTTTAGACAACTCCCAGCATGGCCACTGGTTATGATTGCTGGGGAATTTGGGAAGCTGTAGTCCAAAAAAGTAACTTTTCCAAGCTTTGGACATATGAGGAAGGTAGACCAGGTACATATCACTTTCACAGGAAAGGCAGTCATATTTGGTGGAGGGTGTGTGAACTGCTGGGGTACCCATATCTGCTTAGTCGTTGCTTTCGTTTGAGGGATGTAGAAAAAAAATCTGTTTGACATCCTTAAGCAGAGACAAGCATAGGCTGCACTTACACATCTGGTAAAAAACAAGTGCAATGTGCAGTGATTTTTGTTGCTTCTTATGATGTAAGCACGCTATTTTAAAGCGCAGTAGAGCTTCCTCTGCAGTTAGCCAGAGTGAGAGAGCCCCTCCTTCTCTACAGAGCTTGCTTGTATGGTAGGCAACTGGACAGCAGTAGCCAAGGTGCATGGCAGTGGCAGCAGTGTCTATGACGATTGAAGAGATACACACACACCAGCAACTGCCAATGCATTGCCACCACTGCTACCATGCAGCTGCCCACCGATGAGCAAGCGCTACAGAGGAAGAAGGGCAGTAAAGTCCTCAGCTGACACTTTGTTCACTCAAAGTGCAATAAAAAAGAACCGCTGGAGTTCATACATACACACGGAGAAGAAAAGCATTGTCAGCCAGCCAGTACTAGAAGGTTTCCCAACGACACTGGCATTGTCAAACTAGTGCTGTTCATGCCAAAGGTGGTAGTGGGTGGCTCTGTTTTCACCACGCTAAAAGAGGACATATATTTGGAGCAGTTTCGCTCCTGTTTGCAATTTGCAGAGAATCTGCAGTATAAAAAGTATACTGCAGATTCTCTGAAAATATGTAATTCCTGCCATAGTGCCATTTTTCTCTCTTAACGCCCCTTTTCCAAACCCACATTTTCCCTGTGACCTGAAGCTTATCTTCTTAATCCTCATTCCTAAATGTAATGAAACTTTAAGTAAATTTTGCCTTCCCCAGTCTTCTCTCCTTCTGTTGTGCCCCACTGTTTATTCCAGATAATCTGCTCATGAGAGGAGGGACCTGCCTATGTAACTCTGTAATACAGGGATGGGAGCTTGTGGCCCTCCAGATGTTTTGGATTACAAACCAAGGCTGGTGGGACAGAGTCTCAACAACAGTTGAAGGACCACCAGTTCCTTATTTAACAAAAGGCCAATGGCGTGGTGTCACCATGCGCAGTAACTGAAAACGTCAGGTCCCTGGCACTGGTACTAATCACAAGTTCTATATTTCACTCTCACAGATCTCTTAAGAGGACTATAGTTTCATATACCAAAACCACATTTTGTTCCCTTCAGGGCCACTCCAATATATTTTGCTATCCAAAGTCAAACGTGAGATGGCACCTCTCTCCAATCGATATGCAACCTAAGTCCAGTCACTGAATCTTACTTTAACTCAAAGAAAGAAAGAAAAACTTCAAAGGCTCTTAAGGCAGCTCTTACTCAAGCAACTGTCTTGGCAAGGGGGTGGAAAGAGGAACATTGACCTCACTGTGCCATTGGGGAGCAAGCAAAGCTGCTGTCTTGCTGTGGTGACTTTATAGGATCTGCAGGCGGCAGCAGCTATGGTGGCCCTCCAGGATGAAGACAAGCTGCCTAATAATGGAGGCTTGGGGTACAGGGAAGGACCCTAAAACCAAAGTGAACATGGCAAGCCTCTTCAAGGGACAGAAGGACACACTGTTTTGGGTGCCTGACATGTTTCCCCCAGATTGCTAAAAAATTTCCTCCTAGGCTACATAGAGAAAGCAGGTCAAGAGAGTTGTGACCATGGCCTATTATCTGTCATTAATGTCTCTATCATGACAAAATGGGAAATGGCTCATCAAGCCAAGAGAGAAGTATGGATGTTGGCCAATGCAATGGGACCAGTCAGGAAGTCCATAAACATGTTGCTTGAGCTTCTTGGTTGGGGAACCTCATTGTTGATTTCTTCTGTTTGTCCACGTAAGACCTGACATGCACATAGGTGGAACTTGACTGTGAATTGTCTACATATTTTTAATTGTGCCTTCATAAAACTGAAACAGACAAAGGAAGTGAAAACTTACTCTGCTACTTAAAGAAGCATTAAATTCTAACTGCTAAGGAAAACACTTTCTGGTACTTGTAAGTACATATAGTTCCAACCATCAAAACAGGAACTCACACTGTCGGGCCTCTGGTTTCCTGGTACTCATGAGAACATTCAATGGCCTTGGGTCATTCTGGCTTCAAGAAGAGGGCTGAGGAAGTTGTGCATGAGGAGGAAGATATGGAAGAGCTACAGGACATATTGGCAGGAGAGGCTTCCCTTACCAAGACCCAGACCAACTCAGTTCAGTGAGGCAAATTCAAACATGCAGAGCAGCTTGAATTAATTACTGCAAAGAAGAAAGATGAAGGCTAAGAGGGTCCCCGGGAGAAAAGCCACGATTTAAAACAAAACTCTTTGAAGATGTCAACGTGCTTCTGTTTTATTTATTTGTAGCCAGAAACCTCCTGCTGCTGCTGCTGCCGCCGTCTAGAGCTCCAGCAACAGCTCCATTTTTTAATTCCTACTAATAAGCATGTTACAGAGATTGTCAGTGGCCACATCAAGGCGATGGCTTTGAAGCTGGCAGGCGGCGCATCATCTCCCAGGCAATGCAGCCCAGCCCCTGGCATCTAAAACCACTCTTTGAGCCCTGGAAATACTACAGGCCACATCACTAAGTGAAAGAGTTGTCTCTTTATCTGCTTCTTAGACAGTCCCCAACAGGGCAAGATTGAGGCGAAACTGAAAGCCGCTGCCAGTGCCTTCCTCTCCCCTCCCCCCACGCATGCATATTGCCAGGAAAAAGGAAGTTCAAAAAAGTAAAGAGGAAGCACACACGGTGACTTTTTAGGAGATAAGGGCTATTATCTTTCTGTACCAGAGATGGGCAACACGTGCCCCCCTCCACACACCCACTCTAGTGCCACAGAATCAGAGTCAGTGACATCCAAAATGCCCACATCTGTTCCCTTGCAGTTATTACCAAAAGGAGAAAAACATAATGTGATGTGGGATGATGCTCTGCCATCATCCTACACCATAAAAAGTGGCATCTTCAAGAGCCATTGTGCCAAATTCAGTGCCGGCTGGCAAGCTGTGACATACTGGTGAGGCCCACTGAGGAAGGCAGTCTGGGATTCCAAACCCCTGCAAGTGACCACTATATGCAATGTCTTTTGGATTTCCAAGCTCTGGGTCTCAATGGAGTAAGTATCCGTTCTCCCTACCCTTCTTCAAATTCTAAAACTGCAGAGGGGATGCACCGTCCAACCCTACTTTACCCCTGAGCAAAGCAAACTAACATTTAAATAGATAGGACTGCCACCAAGCCATCTAGCTCCTGCCTGCAATGCCAGTGCCATTTCCTCTGTACCCAAATGGCATATGATTTCTTTCATTCCCACTGTTTGTTTTCAGCACATAGCAACAGCTCCTGAAAGAGCTCGCTGTGCTGGGAAGTCATTCCATCAATGCAGATTCAAGGATACTAGGGGACTTGATGACTCAGGAATGGTGCCTTCCTATGAAATCATAGCTTCCATAGCTTATCAGTAGGTTCTGCCCTTGTGTGGAAGCCATAAGTTATAACATGACTCTAAAGCAGCTATGCAGCTGTCACACACCCCTGGCAGGGGATGTGATGAGGGCCAACTGCTTGCGGAAACCTTACACAAAGAGGCAATTGCATGGAACAGTGATCCTCCCTCCCCATTCATCTTTTTACAGCTGGTAAACCCAACAGGTCATGGGATGGGAGGAAATGGGACTCATGAATAAAAGCAGAGATGTGTGGGCAGGGGAAAGTGAACAAAAATGCAGATAAGAGCACCAGAGGATGTAGATGAGAAAGGAAAGAGAATGACAGTTTCAGATTTAGGGTGATATTAAGTAACCTCCTTTGACTCGCTTAGGAGGTGAGAGCAAAATATTCGCATGGGGAAGCCCTCAACCCAGGAAGAGGAAAGGCAATGAGCTCATCCCCACCTGAGCCCTGGTGCCTCAGAGAGACGGATCTCATTTCTCTCTCACACCTGCCGCCCACCAGCGCCTGGCTTGTCCGTCTCCAAAGCACACATGGACATTCAAGAGAGGAGCTGCGAGAAGGCCGCCCCCTCACTGGGGCCTCAGGTTTACAATGGCTTTGCAGATTAAATTCCTTCAGACAATCATCATCATCAGGCCTCGTCTCAAATTCATGGATTTAGAGTTATAGCTCAGTCTGTGGAGACAGCAGACCAGTAATGTTCTTCCCAGCACATTTTCTCGTTCATCCTCATGCTTTGCTTCCGAGACAGGCTGCTATCCCCTAGCAACGTGCTCAGTTTGTGTGTTTGTTTCTTTAAAGCCCAAATACATCTTCTACTATCCCTCATCCACCAAAAATTCACTTTAAAAATGGCTCAGAAAGTGCCTTTGTACCCTATAGGGGGCAGGAGGCAATTTTGCCATGTTTAGAGGTTTAGCGTAGCGCCCCTTTACCGGCAACAAATTTGAACAAACTGTTTGGCCACTAGAGGGCTCAAAGGGACTTTTGGGTTTAGGAAAGAATGTTTTTGTAAAGAATATTTGGGGGGAGAAAGCAGCCCTCCAAGACCCAGAAATGGGCTGTGTAGCCTGCAGATCTTGGGAGGTTCCTAATCTGTGGTTGAACTATTTCTAGATAATGAAGTCTTCCTCATATAGTAGTTGAAGAAAGCCTATGAAAATGCAAGACCTGAAATCTGACTTGAGTCTTCTTGATTGAAGCAGTGTCAAGAAAGGTGGCATATACAATTAAAACAAATACCTGTGTTTCACAGCGTGCCACAGCAGTGAGACAAATTGCTCATGATCTTGACATTATAGTTCTCATCTAACTGCTGAGTATCCAACTGTAGGTCCACTTGCAGTTTGCTGGTTCTTCTGCGTACTGGTCTTTATAACAGTGATTTCCAAGTTTTCCTGGGGAGCAGGAGGAGTCTGTTTTTCCTCGGAGGCTCACTAGAGGTTCTTAATGACTAGGTCAAGAATGGCCAAGAAGCCCCCTTGCAGGTTTATCCAACCAACACACCTTCCTTCTATTATGGAGCTGATTAAGAGTGTTGAGTAAGGTTTAAGGGCACTCTGAAAATCACAAGAGGTTGAATGCCACAGCATTGGGAGATCGGCTTTAGAGATCCACAAATCTGAACCAGAGTTAACACTGTAACTAGGGGATCGGGCAATACTCCTAGAGTTGAGAAAGCAGTGTCTTTGAGCACATCCCCAGTTGGGGAATTTTGCTTTCAATATGAACTCTGTATTCTACCATCTAGCCATCCTCTTCTAGCTTTTCTTTAACATAAATTTGAAAGCCATGGATCTAGAATATCATCCTTTTGTTCTCACTCTTTGCTGGCAAATAAACTCTGCAGATAAAGTTGTTTGGATATATTTCTACTCCAACAGCTGGACGCATGTGAGAGGGAACTCAGCCTACATCTTGCCCATACTGCTTGCGCCACTTGCAGGTTTGCACTTGGGCAATAAAGAGATGCTTGGGGAATCACATACATCCTAGAGATTTGTATACTGGACTGATGGACGTCTTAGCACATTAGCTTAGGCATCGCATAGTCACCAACAAGGCACTAAGACAGAGAATGACATAAATTCTTTTAGAGTACTGGTGGCTTGTAATTGAAACATGGGAGGGTACCGCATTCCAGAATTCTGAGGTTAAGTGGCCCAGCCTCAGAGTTAATCCCTCCTGAAGAAATAATCTTTGTCAACTGATGATCCCAAGCTCAAATCACTATTTCTCTAGGAATATTAACTGGGTTTATGGCTGTGGTCAGCTCAAGGCATCTGAAGCCTGTGACGGTCCAGCTGCAAGGATTATTTCTGCCAGTGGAAAGGGCGAAGCAACCACTTCAAGCAGCATATTTTAGAGACCATGAAAGGGTAACAGATTAGGAGGCACTTGTGGACTTCTCTGCCAGGGTAAGTGGGAGGTGCCATTTGCTTATCTTGTCTCAGGTAGCAATGTGGCTCCGCTGGCTTCTGATGTGTTTAAGTGTAAAAACTCCACCTGAGTGATTCTGGTCTGGAAATGGGCAAAGAATAATGCCCCCTTCCCAATTCTCTTAGCACTCTGAGGTCTGGTACGGCACATCAGTAAATGTTGGCAAATTACTTGCTGGATGTTAATAGGATGATGAAACACAGCTCTGAAATTCTTTATACTAAACCTTCTAAATATAGTATAAAATCCTGTGAAATGTCTTTTTTATCCACAGAACTACATCTCTAAGAAAAAGTTCTGTATTAATGTAGCTTTTTTCTCACTCAAGCTTCAATGGCATTTAGCCAACACTATGGATTATGGAATTTTAGTATCATGTTTAAATGGCTGGTCTTCCTTGCATGACAGAAATAGGAAAAGAGGAAGAACTGGGGCGTGTGTGTATGTGCAGTGTTTATTTCAGTGATACTCAGCCATTCAAATGTACATGTACCATTCACAGTTGCTTCTGCTGTTTAAATTCAAGTACTTTCTGCACACAAGTATAAAAGGATTGATTGTTTCTGATTGTAAAATATAACCAAAGTCCTAATCACTGAACAAATGCATGCACAAAGACTCACCTTGCTGCTTTTTGGGTAAGCTCCATGGGAAAGTCAGGGCAAAGCAACTGCAAGAGGCAATGGTACTCCTTGGCTGTCAATAGGTCTGCAACAAAAAGAGCAGGATTAGAAAAGGAATCTGACTCTGAAGCTTCAGAATTTATCCTGTGCAATTGGCTTTCTTCCTCCAAGTTCTCTATTGGTGTAGTCACTATCCATTAAAAGATTTCACATATATGGCACCTGGATTATGCTTTGCTTCATTTGAATTTTGTCTAGAGCTAGGATAAGAGATTTAGCCCAACCAGGATTCTTAACTTTCAGGGTAGAAGCAAACACATCCCAAAGGCTCAGCTATTCTTTGAAGGGTAGGTGAAATTCCAACTAATTGAGAATTTAAGAAAATATGGCCTAGAATTTTACTTGTAAGAAAGGATTTCTCTCCTTTCTTTTAAAACAGGTAGACAACTTTAGCATGTCTGAGAGCCAGTTTTCTGCCCCCAAACCATTTGGGGGCACTACCACCACTACTGCTATTGCTGCTGCTGCTGCTGCTGCTGCTGCTACTGCTGCTACTACTA